ACTCAGCGGGGTCGCAGCTGCCTCTGGAAGGCACCGAGATGTACCTTTTTCGCGCAATGGTCAAAATCAAGGTTTTGTAACGCGAGCTGTGCCACAGTGAAATGGCACTAGCCTGAACAAGCTCCTCTTGTAGCTCGATCGGTCACACCGCCATCGCCGTCGGGGAGAGGGGGGACGACACTGCCTCGGCAGCGTGCACCTCGATCCTGTACCGTGTTTGTTATGACCCCCCCCCCCATGAACACACCAGTGAGGGAGGGCGAGACGATCGGAGGGGTCCCGTACCATGCGGAATCGACCCTATCAAGTGCTCAAGTGCTCAAACAAGAAGCGAGCATCGCAGACACAGGGGGGGTGCACCGGTCTTGGCTCACCAGGGCGCCGTGGTGGCTGGCCAGAGCAGGTCCATGCCTCCCAACGCTCCCAGACCGCCAACGCGCCCTCGCATCGACCACCGGTCGCCGCAGACCCACCCCGCCGCCCGCCTCTCCCGGACTCCCGCACAGTACGCAGCCTTCCGACCCCCAACATCAGCGCTATCCAAAGCGGCCTGCGCGCCGGAATCGCGGAATGCGCCAGGGCCAGCGGCAGCGCGCACCCATGTCGCCGCCCTCTCTCCGACACCCACCCACCGCGCTCACCGTCGGCTCGCTCGCTCGCTCGCGTCCACCTCCCCTCCCCCCCCCCCTTTTTTCACGGACGCCAAACCACCCGTTACCACACGAGGCTAATCCTAATGCACGCGCATTGGCATACTGGTATCTCACGCAGACCCGGGAGCGGAGTTTCCTATAAAAAGACCAGCTTCATGAAGATTGCGCCGGCCACGAACATAGCGAGTGCCTTTAGGCGGTCACTGAAGATCGGCGGCTCGCCTAGGTAGCCGGCTGTTGGACCCATCGCCAGTGGTGCAATCGCGACCTGGCTCCTCCAGTACGGGTGCAAGTTGTACGGCTCCCCGTACGTGGCGGCCGTGTGTCGCGGCTCGCCGCCGGAGCTCCAGCCAGCGTTGCGTTGGATAGGGCCATCAGACACGTGCATGGGCACAGGCAGTCGGTCCACGACAAACATCTGTGTTGCTGTCACATTATACCACTTGACAGGATCTCTTGGATCAGGATTGTACTGGATGCGCATATGCACGTTATGCAGCTTGCCTATAACCTTCATGTCGACCTGGCCGCGAATCACGCACTCGTTGTCTTTCACTGGTTTCAGTACGTTCAGCGCTGTGACACCATAAGACGGCAGCGATACAAGAAATGCAGCGTCGATCAAAAATCCTTGGAGCGCTGTGCCCATGTCATTCGAGGCAAATACGGTCCGACCATCAATCTCCACACGCGACGGCTTGCATAAATTCGGGCCGTAGAAGAGAGCCATGGCTGCGTCGTCGTGTGCGCTAGGAGAGTCAGCGTGCGTGCGAAGCGCTCGAGAATTCAGGACTTGTTTGGGCACGGGACCGGCGCGGCGCAACGGCGCGGCGCATGGAAAGAAAGAAAAGCGCTGCGCCCTGCACTCCAAGTGCTCCAACCAGGGGGCTGAGCCACTCTTCTGGGTTTAATCGTCTCTGCACGATTGAAGGCTGGGAGGCTGCGGGAGGAACTTACACGAACCCAAAGTGTGCGGAAGGGAACAACGGAAGCTCGGAAGGGTCTCCCTCGAAAAGAAGAAGCCCGAGCCTGAGAGAGATTTTGAAGTTTCTCGAGCAGCTGTGAAGAAGAAAGAAATAAAACAACTGCGAAACTCGAGGGATGGGAGGAGGACACACAGGGTCCCCACCTGCACGAGCAGGATTTTTCTCTCTCTCTCTCAGTGTATGTGGCTCTTACGTACATTCCCGTAGGAGACTCTGCTGACAGGGTTTGCGATTAGGAGCGATTTTGGAACGACGATCATTTTGCACGAGAATTTTATCATCGCTTCTTAGATGGGAGATATCGAAGATTTCGAAGATTTGCGATTGTGGGCAAACTTCCAGGAAACCGCACGCCACGCGACAACGATGGCGTTGACGTTTGCGCCCCCGCCGCTCGGCTCGCCGGCCGAGATGGCGGAGGGTTGGGTGAACTACTGCCGGTACTTCCACTCCCTCGAGGCGGACATCACCCGCACCTCTCAGATCGCCCGCGAGGACCGGTTCAGCAAAGCCGATCGAGCAAAGCTGAAGGCTGCTGAGCCAGAGTCCTGCTTTGATGCGGTCACGCGGAGCCTCGCACGGCAGCGTACCATTGCCCAACCGACGCCGCAGGGCGCGTTGGTGATTGAGGACGGCTGCGGAACTCGCCGCGTTCTTGGCGAGGCCCACCTTCGCGCGGTCCGCACTTTCCTCGCCACCGCGGCACGCTCTGCAAACAAGCGGGTGGCCGACGAGGAGGAGCTGCTGCATCTGGAGGCGGAGCTCGAGAACGAGATCACGCAGACACTCCCGCCCGGCCTCGCCACCTCGCGCGCCGCATCGCCAACCACCGACATGCAAGAGTGGTTTGGCTGGGGCCTCGGGGAGGAGCCGTCGCCGATCGTCTCATTCGATGGGCTGCCTCTCGAGAGCGCGCGGGCGATGCACGAGGCGGGCCTCGATTGCCCCGATGGAGCTGCGACACAGCAGGGCCCCGCGACGGATCGCGACGCGACGCCGGTGAGTCTTAGAACAGAGGGAGTCGCTGCAGCAGAGGACGGCGACGGTGCGGCGGTTGAGTCTGTGCCGGCAGAAGAGAGTGGCGTCAAGGAGGGGTACAGCACGTCTTCGACCATCGAGCCGGAGCCAGCGGAGGCCGTCGGCGGTGGTGGGGCCGACAGATGCCCGGCCAAGCGCCGGGCGCGTGCCGCGCACCACGCGGCACCAGACAACAAACACGCCCTGCGGTTACCGGTTACTCTTCCCATCCATATAGGCGAGCCGAAGCGGTCGCTCGGCGCGGGCGATGCGCAGCCCACCGCGCAACTGGCCCTCCGCGGCCCCGGCAGCGGCGGCGGCGCACGAGGAGCGCCCGAAAGCGAGCGGAGTGCGGTTGCCGCGGGCCGGGATGGCGCAGCGGCCTCCGGCGCTGCTGGCGCTCTGCGCGTTTTTGGAGTCGCTTTCGGGCGGCTCGGCGTCCCTGGTGGTGGGCTGGACGACGCGGACGGCGCAGCGCAAGGGCAACGCGAGGGGGGCGTGCACCTACTGGTACAGCGAGACGGGCACCAAGTTCCGCTCCCGCCTCGAGGCGCTGCCAACCTTGCGAGCGAGTCTGCTTTGCCCGCGCGCCCCGCCGCTCACGCCGCGTGCTCCTTTCGCCCAGGTGGCGCAGCACTTTGGGCTTGACGTGCCGGCGCAACCGCCGGCGTCCTCTTCGAGTCACGGTCGCAAGCGGCGCGCGCCCGTCGCGTCGTTCGCGCCGCCACGGCAGCAGCAGCTCGCCCGTGAGACGAGGCACGAAGCAGGGTGCGACAGCGCGAGCGAGTGTGGCTCTGCATCCGCCACCGCCAGCACCGCCGACGCCGCCGACTGCCAGCTCAGCGACGTCGAGCCGTCGTCACCGCGGAAGCGGCGGCCGTCGGTGGGCTGCTGATTCATGTGGCTGCTTTTTCCACTCGCATATTCCGCATAGAATGCCGCATAGTGCTGCATTGCTCTGCGCGATCCGCCATCCCGCATCCGCCGGAGGGGGTGGGCGCGCTCGAGCTCATGCGTCTGGTTACCCGCCCGGGCCCCATTGTGTTTCGCATCTGTCCCAGTCTCGCGTGACACGCCGTGATCTCGTCGTTTGTGCGGCGCAGTCCGGCTTGCACGGAGTCATTTACATTTTATACATTTTTCTTGAGACACGTATAAGGACACGTATAAGGGGTGAGGGGACACGGATTGAAGATCCCTCACACCAAGATCGTGCAGGGCGGGGACACATGTCCCTAAATCCCATCTCGTCTCAGAGTTTGGCCGTTTTTATTTATTTATTTATTTATTTGAGACACGTATAAGGGGCCGCGCCCGGCGGCGCGCCGGGGCCCGGGCCCCGGGCGGGGGGGGGGGGGGGGGCGCTCGGCGCGACCCGCAATGCCCATCGGCTCTCTTTGCACGTAGAGAGAGGACCAAAAGACCGCCGGCGCGCTCCGCCCAGGAGCAGGACGCAAGGCCGCGACGCCCGAGACGTCGCCGGACACTTGGCCGGACACCAGCCGGGCGTGAGTGTCCATACCGCATACGGGCGAATGCCGACTCCATCTGGTGTCGGCATGGCGGGAAGCACTAAGTCAGCTCGCGAGCCGACAGCCCGCACCATCAGGCCATTCGCTGGCGCTTCAGCGCCTCTTGGCGAAGCTCGTCCACCTAACGTGAGATGGCTGTTGTGAGCGCGACGTGGCCGGGGGGGAGCGGTTGGGCGGAAGCTCGCCGCCTGCTGTTGCAGCTGCGCCACCTGCGCCTGCAACTGCGGCACCACCCTCAGCTGCTCGCGCACCTACGGCGGGCGAGGAGCGGCCGAGACGTCACCACTCACACATGGGCGACCTCCCTCACACATCTGCTCTGTGGAGTGGCGTCGGTGCGGGAGAGAGCGCCGAGAGCCGAACCAGAGCCAGCGAAGCAGTCGCGTGCGCTCGGTCACTGCGGACCATACTCACAAACGTTTTGGAGCTGCCATCAAAGCTGAGGCGGCGCAGTCGACGACGGACTCTGCTCGCGCCGCCCCACAAGCGAGAGAGGGTTGCGCTAAGTCGCGGTAGCGCGGGCTGTGTATGGTGGCAGCGCCGGAGGGAGAGGCGGCCAAGGGAGTACCTTGGGGAGGTGTGACGGCGTAGGAATGCAGCCTGCCTGTCCCGTCGTGCTGCTCTTGTAGCGCCCTCCGCTGTTTGTGGAGACAGGCTCCCAAGCCCGTGCGTGGTCTCCCTCTACTCTGTGCGCCTGGGCACATACCTGGGCGGTAGTCGCCCGCGACTCCAGCAGCATCTGGTACATCTCGGGCAGCGCCGGCACGGCAGTCCCGATGGTCAGTGGCAGGTGGCCGGAGCCTGCGGGGTGAGTAGACCAACCTCAGGGGTGAAGGCGGTCTTGTGCAGAGTCGTCGCACCGCGTGAAGACGAGGGGCTACGAATACAGCTGAGAGCGGCTGAAAGCGGCTGAATACAGCGGCGCACGTGTCCTCTCGAGTACTAGTCGACAGAGAAGGCGGCGTGTTCCGCTTCTAGGGGCCGGAGGCCGACGCGCTGCAAGCCGTCCGACCCCTCGTCGAGGGAGGCGCTCTTGGCGAATGGGTTCCCCTCTGCAAACGTGAGGCCTGTTCACAGCTAGAGGTGTGAAGAGACGCTGTTCTTGCCGAATGGGTTCCCCTCTGCAAACGTGAGGCCTGTTCACAGCTAGAGGTGTGAAGAGACGCTGTTCTTGCCGAATGGGTTCCCCTCTGCAAACGTGAGGCCTGTTCACAGCTAGAGGTGTGAAGAGACGCTGTTCTTACCGAATGGGTTCCCCTCCGCAAACGTGAGGCCCGTCTCCGAGTACCGCTGCTGTTGCTGCCGCAGCGCACTCGCCTGGGGACGGCCTCTTCGGTGAGGGTGCGGAGGGGTGGGGGGGGGGGGGGCCAGGGGGCCAAAGGGGGGGGGGGGGGGGGCAAAGGCCAAGGCCAAGGCCAAGGCCAAGGAAAAGGAAAGGGGGAGGTCCAAAAGGCGGGGGGGGGGGGGCCTTTTTTGGAAGGGAACCCCCGCCAAAACGAAAGCAAAGGGGCCCCCCCCCCTTTAAATCCCCAAAAAATTTTTTTTTGCCCCCCCCCCCCGGAAAAAAATTTTTAAGGTTTTTTGGCCCCCCCGGGGTGGACCTTTTTTGGAAAAAAAAAATCCCGACCCCATTTTTGAAAAAACCTAAAATAAAGCCCCCGGGGACCACACTGGGCCCTGCTTTGGGAGGGGGACCCCCGAACCCGTACCGGGTTTCAAAAAACCGGGGTTTTTAAGACCCCCCCCCCCCCTGAA